CTCCAACACACACATATAGGCACACCCTTGCGGGGAATATTGTACACCATGATATTTTGAAGTATATGACATTTTCCTGTTTTCTGCCATCTAACCATTGGGGACGTTTAGGGAAAACAGAAATAATAAAATTACATCAAATTTTCTTAAACATATATTTAGCTTGAAAATAAAATCCTGCCACATAACTTTACCTTATTGTTTTTTTTCTAATTTACCCTATTGCCTTATTCTTTATGTTAAACCACTTGACTGTAACAATTACATACATAAAAGTTATCCTAACTTAGATAAGTATATCATTTACATTTAATTAAACATTAAACATCCAGGAATAAGGAAATTTCTGCAGAAACGCAAAACTTTGAACGTACGTAGATAAAGCCCTGTCAGTAAATAACCCAAGAATACTTATGTCATTTGTTGTCATATATAATTCGTTCATTTTTCTTTGTTAAGGAAAATAATAAGATGAACGTTATATAATATGACCATATATCATCTTAATAAGTTATCTAAAAAAAACAACAAAAAACAAAAAATCACTTAAAATTATAAAGAACCTCTGTAACGTTAAAAAGTTTAATTTCAACAAAGTGTGATTTTTTGTCCAACAACAAACTGTTCAGGTACGGACGGTCAGGCAGGGTAAGATAAGTGACGTGTTTCGTCTGGGAGAGGGACATCATGTCGACCTATCATAACTTTCAGTCTAGTCTAGGGATGCCGTGTCGATATACTATATCAGACTTGTCTAGGCCGATCTACTTTATCAGTATTGTTTAGGGAAAACGCCGTGCCGATCTACTATATCAGTATTGTTTAGGGAAGAAACGCCGTGCCGATCTACTATATCAGTATTGCTTAGGGAAGAAACGCCGTGCCGATCTACTATATCAGTTTTATTTAGGGAAGAAACGTCATGCCGATCTACTATACCAGTTTGCTTAGAGAAGAAACGCCGTGCCATTCTACTATATCAGTATGGTTTAGGGAAAGAACGCCGTGCCGATCTACTAGATCAATATGGTTTAGGGCTTGAACGCCGATTTACTATATAAACATGGTTTAAAGGATGGAACGCCGTTCCAATCTACTGTATCGTCTACTTTAGGGAAGGGATAAACTCCGAATATTTTTTTCTAAGCTTGTTGTTTAGACGATTTATTTTATTTATCTGAAGGGGTGTATTTTATGAAGGTTATGAGAAATAATTGTCTAATATAAAATGCCGTTTGTGTCGATCTTGACAAATTAGACAAAATGAAATCATTAAAGATTTTAAGAAATTCGCAAATGTTTGTTAACTTCTTATTAAATAAAATTTTAAATAAATAAACTTATGATATGTAAGATGTCCATTAACTAGGAAAATGTTGGGGAAGTTAATTTGCTTGAGGAAAATGTTTCTGACGGTTAAATTCTCCTTTTATAAGGATTGACCTGCAACATACGTGCATTCCCATAAACAAATCTTCCTTTAAAATTTATATAACGATTAGGGTCATGAGCCTACTCTTGTTCCATCATTAAATGTCTTGAAATTATATAACAAAATGAAGCATGGTGACAAGGTTAAGATCATCTACTCTTTTCTAACATTTATATCCTTAAGAATCCTCTTCAAGCAATCCAACATATTCATAATCTTTGCCCATCTTTCCCCATTCGCATTCGAATATTTTCCTTATTTGATGCATGTATTTGCTTCAGCGTTGGAATTGCGTACTTAAAACTGAATGTTTAACATTAAAATTTTACAAATTGAAAGTAATATAAGAAATATATCTACTTGATAATCTTGTAAAACATTTTAACTAAATGTAGTATTCTTATAACTTCGTGTTAAATATCAAAGCTAGTATGTTTATATTAGTCACTTGCTTCATTTTGACAAGGGTTTTTAAAGTTCTCTCCTGACACACAGAAACATTAAAATTACACACGACTCTATTTCAGTCGTGTACTGTTTGATTAGCTTTAAATCGAATAATTGAGGCGTGGCCCAATAGTTAATACTATAAATAGTGTATGATAGTATGATATGAATGAGGTTATGGGAGTAAATATGTGATGAACGATTGATGGACAAGTCAGAATATATCTATAGGGAAAACACACCATTTTATTGGTGGTTATAATAATGGAAAATGTATATTTAATAATGCAAATGTAATAGTCCTTTTACATATAATTCTGCATAAAATATTTAACTTATTACTTTTTTAATCTTCGAATTAAATATTTTTTATAATTTCATCTAAAATATCTATCTTAGTTCTTTTATTTTGCTTCTTTTAAAGTATTTTAGCTAGTATTTTTCTATTAGGGTCCACTTCATATAAAGTTTTAAACTGTTCCTTTTTCAAATTTTTCTTTAAATAAATACTAAATCTGTAACTTTTTATAACTGCATATAGAAAATTTAAACTTGTATTTCTATATAACTTTATATAAAGTATTTAAACTAGTAATTATTGTAACTTCATAATTATTAAGTTTTAAAACTAGTACATTTTATAAGTTAATGCAGAATGTTTAATGTGAAATTATAGAGCTTCATATAAAATATTTTAACTAGTACTTTTTATAACGTCTGATAAATTATTAAAACTTGTGTTTAATAAACTTCATATAAATGTTTGAATGAGTACTTTTTATAACGTCATATATAGAAGATATTGAATCAGTGTATGTTCAATGCTGACTTTATTGAACGAGTTGAATAACATTATATTATCACTATGCGAGCCTCTCGTATTTTGTTCATAAAACAATACCTACAAGACACTTCACCAAAATGAATTTGTTGATTTTCTTTTCTTTCAAGAAAGTAACAAATAATTTAACAGCAATATTCTGTGAAGAGAACATATTTTAAAGACACAAATGTTCATTAATTCTAATCAGTCTCAGTTTTAATCTATTTTCATTTTTCTTTTGCTTTATAGACATTTTTATTTTTAAGTAAAAACGTTACTTTGTCCATATGTACGGAAGCGTCCTGGTGCCAATTTATAATGTTCTATAAAAAAATAAACTCCTACGTAGGAGATAAAAAAGCCTATAATTAGGAGTTTGTAACTCCTACGTAGGACTTTTAAACTCCTACGTTGGACTTTATAACTCCTACGTAGGACTTACAAAGTCCTACATAGGACTTTGTAACTCCTACGTAGGACTTTATAACTCCTACGTAGGAGATAAAAAAGCCTAATTAGGAGTTTATAACTCCTACGTATGACTTTTAAACTCCTACGTAGGACTTTTTAACTCCTACGTATGACTTTTTAACTCCTACGTAGGACTTTTTTAACTCCTACGTAGGAGATAAAAAAATCCTAATTAGGAGTTTATAAGTCCTACGTAGGACTTTTAAACTCCTACGTAGGACTTTTTAACTCCTACGTAGGACTTTATAACTCCTACGTAGGAGATAAAAAAGCCTAATTAGGAGTTTATAACTCCTACGTAGGACTTTTAAACTCCTACGTAGGACTTTATAAGTCCTACGTAGGACTTTATAACTCCTACGTAGGACTTTAAAACTCCTATGTAGGAGATAAAAAAAGCCTAATTAGGAGTTTATAACTCCTACGTAGGACTTTTAAACTCCTACGTAGGACTTTTTAACTCCTACGTAGGACTTTTAAACTCCTACGTAGGACTTTTTAACTCCTACGTAGGACTTTATAACTCCTACGTAGGACTTTATGACTTTATAAGAAATGCATACAGAATGTTTTGCAAATCTCAACATTCCGGACCGGTATATCGGCGAAGGAACAAGACACTTAAAAAACACTTACTCGACATCAAGCATATATATCAAAATATGAAAAGGCTTTAATGATTACGATTTCAATACGAACTAGCTGAACAAAAAAGAGCAATTTATCCATTTTCGGCCGTTTCAAATGATTAAATCCTTATAGGGGGCAGGGGGTAGTGAAGTGTCTTGTTCCTGCTCCGTAAAGTTTAAGAAGATAACGGTTTGCGGAGCATTATGCATGCATATGTTTAATAATGAATTACATTGTATATCCTACTTTGAACAAAGTTTAACCCATACATTTTGTGTACATGTGTATAATAAATATAACTAAACGTACATAATACAGAATCATCGTTTAATAAATGCAGAGAATGACAAAATCATCTCTGGCTACAGACTAAAGGTATTTACTAAAGTGGCTTGCCACAATTACAACTTGACACATATGAGCCGCGCGATGACAAAACCAACATAGTGGGTTTGCGACCAGCATGGATCCAGACCAGCCTGCGCATCCGCGCAGTCTGATCAGGATCCATGCTATTCGCTATCAGTTTCTCTACTTGTAATAGGGTTTGTAAGCGAACAACATGGATCCTGATCAGACTGCGCGGATGCGCTATGTTGGTTTTGTCATGGCGCGGCTCATATAATTATTTTCCTACATAATATGCTTTCTTAAGTTATACTCTAGCATACATGTCCGTCGAACTCTTTGCTTTCAGTTCTTTGATATGTATTCTACGTAGGAGTTATAAAGTCCTACGTAGGAGTTTAAAAGTCCTACGCAGGAGTTACAAAGTCCTACGTAGGAGTTATAAAGTCCTAATTAGGCTTTTTTATCTCCTACGTAGGAGTTATAAAGTCCTACGTAGGAGTTACAAAGTCCTACGTAGGACTTATAAAGTCCTACGTAGGAGTTAAAAAGTCCTACGTAGGAGTTACAAACTCCTAATTAGGCTTTTTTATCTCCTACGTAGGAGTTTATTTTTTATAGAACATTATGAATTGGCACCAGGACGCTTCCGTACATATGCCTTTATTATTTCCATGTTTCTTCAAGTGTTAAGCTTGAATCATTACATAGGAAAAAGACGGTAAGTTTTGCAGGAAACCTTTTAAACAGAATATTTAAAACATGTTCAAATGAAATGAAACAACCCCTTACTGAGTCTTCCTAACTTCCTTGTCTGCGGATATATTAGATCCATGTTCCGCCCAAAGTTTATTCCGTCGCCCGCGCTTCAGCAGAGTAGATTGTTATAAACAAGAATCTTTGGTTTTTGTTTTTATAAATGCGACATTAAAACAGACTAATATTTCAAAATGAAGCTTACTTATTTATTTATTACAACGGTAGTGTTTTACATTGTATTGTTGGAAACTGCGGACGCATGGAGGGGGTAAGTGATATTTTACTCTTACAAAATCTGTTGACTGAAAGTGATTATGAGACTTAAAGATAGAGATATACAATGCTCATCTGTGGGTATAATATTCTTACTGCAGAACATTATTGAAGTCTAGGAAATTATTACTGAACATGTCTTATCTCAATAAGAGAATGCATAAATCATGCATGTGAATCTGCATTCCCTATAACATACGCATGTAAAACTATTGCTATTTTCTCTCAGCGAGATTTAATTTCAAGAATATACTGACTCCCTTATATATTTTATATGCCTTAAAGAAAAAAAAAACCTTTGTATAATGCATATCTTTAAAACAAAATTGACAGGTTATATGATATACATAACATAGATCTTAAAGACATTACACACCATTAATCACAAATATGCATAGTTTCCTCGATGAAAGTTGGAAATTTAAGAAAACAGAATGTTATTATAAATGTGCACTTTTACCATATGAACCTCATGAAAAAAAGATGTATGAAAGTATTCATTAGATTCTCTTGGTATAATAGATTGCTTCTATTATGATAATATTTAATGGCCCTTTTCTTGTTTTGATTTAAAAATCATGTAAATGAAAATGACTGATATGTACGGAAACGTATAGCGACCACCCCTATATGTTAGTTAAAACAGAATTTTTGACAATTTATTTAATACATGTTATATATCTAACCAATTTTTACAAACTAACTTGATCTGAAATATTTATCTAGTAATATCTACAGCCTCTGCATGTTGGTCAAAACAGAAATTACGACAATTTATTTTACACACGATATTTATTTGACCAATATTTACATTGTTATTTGATCTTGAATATATATCATTTACTCAGTCTGCTGTTAATAGTGCTGGATTCAAATTTATGTGACATTTTTTCTGTTCATTTATATGTATTAGTTTTATATATTGAGTTTTTTTATTCGCATACCTCTGTCATTATAAAATATAATATAACATATATTACAATTTATATTTGAGGACAGTAAAATCTCGAGCAATAGAAAGCCTTTTTAAGGATTATATTTGAGGCTTTTTGTATTCCAAAGATTAAGGAACGTTTAAATAATTGTGCTTCAGATAGTGTTACAAGATAAAGATTATATAAAAAAGACAAACTCCGTTAGTTGTTAATAAGCATAAATAAGCTAGTGAAGTAGTACCTGATGTAAATTAGTTATCATAGAAACCATTATATTTTTGTAAGATATATAATATATAGAGCTTAAAACGATAACTTCCGACAAATTTACCATTTTAAATGTATGTACAGAGGATGGTACATGACAAATTTTATATAAAAAGGCATATTCGCCCAGTTGATGTTATTATAGGAACATAGATCCTAAAGCTTAAGCGATATTTCGTCTTATATGATGTGTGACACGAGAAAAGTCAAGAAATTTGTATTTGATAAAGGAAGCAATTAAATAAAGTTATATTGTAAATCATATATAATACGTATTTTTTGTAATCTATCGTACGTTTTTTTTTTATCTTATAATGTATGATAAACTACTCTTAACTTTTTGACAAAATGAAAAAATAAAACATTTACATCTTTTTAAATATGTAATTCCTTCCGCAAATCATATTTGCATATAACAAACATACTATAAAACTGTTAAAAAGGTCATTTGATATGTATCATATAGAGATGGTCGCTATACGTTTCCGTAGGATATGCTGAATCTACCTTTTTGTTATATATATACTAGTTATGTAGATTTTATCTTAGGTTCATTTACACCGACTTCGATACTAATTCTTACGAAAGAGTAAACTGACCCCCTTATATTATTTATATGCCTATTTAAAATACGACGATACATGATTACAACATAGTTCGTAACGTTTTTTTTTAAGTTATATATATATAGTTCATATTGAACTTTTCTCTTCTTTGGCTACTATACTAATAAAAATACGTATTTTACTGAAGACTTTCTTAAGAACTTACTTTTATTTTTAAATTTTATAAATGATATGTTTTTTCCTGCCTTTCATCGAAATTCTACTTTGGAAAGCAGGCGCTTCCTTTGGGTATTCCGCTTTTATTTATTTTAAAAAATAAAAATATATGTTTTCGGGGCATTACTTGTTCGACAGATATTGAGATTATATAATTTAATCTAAACCCAAGTTTTAAGCTTAGATGTATGTTTTATGTGTTTCATACCGTAGCTTAAGAATAAGAATCGAAGTCGGTGTAAATGAACCTAAGTTAGCATCTTCATAACTGGTAGGCCCTAACATAAATAATAACAAAAGGTAGATTTAGCATATCAGTCATTTTCGTTTACATGGATTTTAGATCAAAACGAGAAAAGGGCCATTTAATGTTATTATACCATGAGAATCTAATGAAATATATAATTCCATACATCTTTTTTCACCAGGTTCATATGATAAATACGGAAGAGTATACTGACCCCCCTTATATATTTTTTATGCCTTCAAGAAAAAAAAACCTTTGTTTAATACATATCTTTAAAAAATTGACAAGTTATATGATATTTTAAGTAGATCTTGCAGAGTTTTATCTGTTATTATACACCATAAATCACAAATATGCATTGTTTCTTCGATGATATTTGGAAATTTAAGAGAACAGAATGTTCTTTTTAACATACAGTAGTTGTGCACTTTAGCCTTTATCATATGAATCTCATGAAAAAAGATGTATGAATTTATAAATTAAATTAGATTCTCATGGTATAATAAGTCGCATCTATTATTAAAATATTAAATAGCCCTTTTCTCGTTTTGATATAAAAAAAAACATGTATAACCATTAAAAAAGATGTAAGAAATACTTATAGTACAGGTTACTCAAAGTTTCAATACCATTTATATAAAAATAATATATATCAGTTAAATTATAATATTTTATATAATACTGGCAAGGTACTCGTGTACCGCAAACGTGTTATCATAACGATCAACTTATTTTAGGAAACATGTAAAACATCATCTAAGCTAAAAACTAAGGTAAAGAATATATATATAATATATGATTATATCATCTCTATATCTGCCAAACAAATAGTGCCTCGAAAACATACTGTTTTCAAATAAATAAAAAGCCTTTACTCCAAGAAAACGTCTGCTTCTTGAGGTAGAATTTCAATGAAAAGAAGAAAAAACATATTTCTCATAAATAAAAGTAAGGTCTTAAGAAAGACTTAAGTTTATTATACGTATCTTTAACAGTATAGTAGCCAAAAAAACAGAAAAGATCAATATGAACTATATATATAACTTTTAAAAAACCATTTCGAACTATGTTGTTATCATGTATCGTCGTATTTTAAACAGGCATATAAAATATATAAGGGGGGTCAGTATACACTTCCGTAGATAAAGGCTAAAGTGCACATCTACTGTATGTTAAGAACAACATTCTGTTCTCTTAAATTTCCAACTATCATCGAAGAACCTGTGCATATTTGTTATTTTATGGTGTATAATAACAATTAAAGTTCTTTAAGATCTACTTGATATATCATGTAACCTGGCAATGTTTCAAAAATTATGTATTATACAAAGTTTTTTTCTTTCTTCTTTAAGGCATATAGAATATATAAGGGAGTTCAGTACAGTATACTTTTCGTATATCCTTAAACTACCTTGTGAATCGCATAAAACATACATCTTAGCTAAAAACTCGGGTATAACGAATTTATAATACAGCAAACACCATTTATTAGAGTAAAAAATAAGATTTCTTCATGAGTCGACAAGATTTTATATCACCCGAGCCGTTAGGCGAGGTTGATATTTTATCTTGGCAGGTAATATATCCACATATATCACTCCAAAACCAAAATAATAATTTTATTACCCTTCCCCTGCCGAGTTTATACGATTTTTAAAATAATAATTCTTGTTTCTTGAAAATGAAACGTCGAAATAAGATTCCCTTTAGGATGCCCCGTCATCACAACATGACGTCACATAAATACATGACGTATTTTTCCCCGTACCTAACGAATGTAAACAAGAGAAAATGAGTAGTCTATTGAGTCACTTTTTGTAATTAATATCAAGCTTTTACAAGGTCATATTTGTTTTCAATACTAATGAGGATATGTAAAATTACTTTACTTTGGTAAATATTTATCATTTGACAGTTAAAAAGTTCTTGTAAATCGGAATTTACACCGCGTAAATTCGAACCGTACGCGCATCACCTCAGCGCATGTTGTTTGCGAAGTGGGTTAACCAACGGGGAAATTTAGTGTGTATATTACCCGTCTGGCTCGGTAATATCAATTTCTTTCGGGTGATCAATCAAAAAGGCGGAAAAAATCTGGAAGGGTAATAAAAAACTATATAAACGTCACGTTTATCCAATGAAAAGCGACGTTACAAACGTGCAGTATTATAAAAACTATATATACATGATTATATCATCTCTATATCTGTGGAACAAATAATGCTCCGAAAACATACTTTTTTTAAATTAAATAAATCCGGTTAACCCTAAGGAAACGTCTGCTTTCCAATGTAGAATTTCAACGAAAAGAAGAAAAAATATATTTCCTATAAATAAAAGTAAGTTCTTAAGAGCATACGTATATCTCTAACAGTATAGTAGCCAAAGAAGAGAAACGATCGATATGAACTATCTTAATATGTTTTTTTTTTTTTTTTTTTTTTTTTTCCTTAAACATTATGAACAATGCTTTAATCATGTATCGTCTTATTGAGGGGGAGGGGTCAGTATACCATATAGATCTAACCCTTATAGTAATAAACAATTTAAGGTATCATTTATATGTAAACAACAGATATGTTCAAATGTATGATTATTAGTGGAAAAATGCTTATACAAATGATAACTTTAAAAAAAGTCATATAATAAGTCATTGAACCGATGTTCATAAATAGTTAATAAATGATTTCCTAGACTACAAAAAAGTTCATTATATCAACTGTTGAAAACATATTAGTATGAAATAGTTATAAACTTTTATACAATAGCTAATTTCATAATCATTTAGCTTACTCTACAGATTGTTAAAGTTAAATAAATGTATATATGTTATATTTAACACCAAGCGTGATAGACAGTTCCAGTGTCTGATTTTGAAGTATAACTGTACCAAAATAAGATAAAAAAAAGTTTCCTTCCTCTTTCATATATTTTTATAGTGGCATTTTAGGCATAAGAAACTCATGTTAGTGCGTTTTGCTTTGACACTTAACCTAAAGATTTTTCTTCAATTGTTATAGGAATTATTATTCGGTAAGACGGAGTAGAAATGTACTTGAGAGATACTGTGCATGCTGGTACTATTGGTGGTAAGTCTTCGTTACTCACATTTTAAATGAACTATTTAAAATCCATTCAGTTTTTTGTTTTATTTGTAACCGACGTCTGAAAATAACTTTTACAATTTCTATTAACACAAACTTACATTTAAACATGACCTTTTCCTCCAAAAGCACGGTGCAATTCCTTTGTGATCGACTGTCAATGACAAAAATAGTTTGGTAAATATGTTTAATCTAACTATTTAAAACATGTATGTTTATATATTCTTGTGTAAATTGAATAAAAATTAGGTTAAAATTGTATAATTGACAGATTTTGGACGATATTTGTGTATTGTGCACTATGTGAAGGTATGGTGTTATTCAGCCATTCCTTTTTTAAAAGTTTATAGAAATACACCGGCTCTAAGACTGACCAGTATTAAACTTTGCACAAGTCACTGTAGGGACATCGGCTGCGTTTCATAGAAAGTCCAAATGTGTCCTTAGTCCAAGGACTTAAGGCAAACTTCGGACTTACTAAGAAAAACGGAACACATTTTTCAAAGACTTTCATTTATTTCATATTCCTGAGAAAAGTTCAATAAATAGTGAAAAATAAGTAGTCAACTGCAAATTCTATAATTCCTTTTAATATACTAACGTTTCGGCTGAACAGCCTTCTTTAGGGCACATACATAAATAATGAGAAAAGTTCAGAAATTCAATTTTCTTCTGTGTTGCTATTCAAAATTGATGAAGGAGTAATAACATAGAAGTAATTAATTGGTATTTATTAAGAAAGACTAAAGATACGACTTTCTATGAGACGAAACCATGTTTGACATACTTTATTATTACAGGGGATGTTCATACTGGAGATATTACTGGAGAACTCATTACTATTATGAATATATTTGTAGACCTGGATATACACATAATGGAGATCGAAACTGTAACATACGTATGTAATTAATATATCATTAATGATTGACAAGTATTTTTGCTAAAGATTGTTAAACAACTAACATTTGTTGAAATGGAAATATGTATTTCAAATACTTAGTGGGAAATATAAAAAGATGTATTTTACTGAGACAAATGTGTATTCTCTTATAAACTACGACACAGGATTGAATCTTAGCCATGTAATAAAACAATTTTGGGATAGTTTAATTACTATTCAAATGTTTGACGCACTGTCAACAAACTAAACAAACTTGGCAGACTGTCCTACTGTTCAACTCAATCCTTAATCCGATTAGGTACAGTATACTTTCCCCAGTGTCTGTCAACAACAACTACGCGGCATATCATCAGAAAAAGACGTTGATAAGTACAAAATATGATAAACAAGATCGACAAGGAAAGGCGGCATTCAATGAACGCAGCCCCCACCCGACCCAGCAAGTTTAACAGAAGTCAAGTTCAATGCACTCCTAGTCAAACAATAATTTCAATTGTGAAATAGATTTTTAAGCATTTTCAAGTTGTTTTGTGATTATTTAGTCATAGATTGATATACATGTATTTAGATTATTACTTTGAGTAAATCAATTTTAATTCAATAAAAGACAACTTAAATAAATAAATTGTCAGAATACAAAAAAAAGTATATATTGTATTTGCTCATTTTTTAATTTCATAACTACATGTAACTGATATTCTTGCGCTTTCCAAAGTCGTCCATAGGCAGGGTCAATCAAACCGGGCCTGCAACATTTCTTATTTTATCGTTTAAGCTCTATTCCATTAGCGTTAAAGGTGTCAAGTACGACTACCTACTAATTACCATTGCCATTTTACAACAGTGATTGTCCAATTTATGTGATAGAAAAATATTACATTCGTGTTTTTCAATATCTTGAATTTATTAAACGAATACACACATTCTCGTATTTTATCACTAATTAAACTCGTTTTTTTAAATTCAGTGGTAATGCTTCTTTAATGCATGGGTTTTATAGGGTACCATGAGGAAAATAATATTGAATAGCAGGATATGTAAAGCTAATGGTGTCATGTTATTATTGTTGTTCTATTTCAAGCTGTATGTCGTCCGACGTGCCAGAATGGCGGAACTTGCACAAGTCCAAATGTTTGCCAGTGTCCTTCATGGTCTCAAGGAGTAGGATGCGCTTCATGTAAAATAATAAACAGATTATATGTATCGTTTTAAAGACTATGAATGTTGATTGTACATACATATTATTTGTATAACACATTTCACATTCAATATTTCAACATAATGTAGCAATCTGTAAATTTTATTGAAACCTGGAATATTGTAAATGAAATAATTCACTTTTTTCTGATTGAATTTTATTTTGATAGACCGACGTTGCTTATTCCAATGAATGCTATAGACCCTTTCATTTAAGCGATAACAGTCAGGGAAGAGTTACTTCCCTTACCGGATGTGACGTAAATGGGGGATAAAACTATGCAGGCCGCATAGAATGTTAGCTTATTGAAAAGTTAAATACGTAAATACTGATCGTTCAATTATGATTCTACCATTTAAAACTTACGCATGCATACATAAATTCAATATCAAGACAATAGAAAAAAAATACAAAAACAAAGATTGAGATTAATTCTCGCTACGGAGTGAAACAGCGAAATTTCAAAGTGAATATATTTATTAGATCTAGATTTGCTCTAATGCCAGGATAAGAAGCTAGTAAACTAAATCAATTTTTTATATTTTATAAACAACCATACACACTGAAATTGCCTATTATAAATTTAAATGGTCATTTTCTAGTTTTCTGTGATATTTTCAGTCATTTAGAAAATTCCGGCGTATTTGTAATAAGATTGCAATGTCTTTAAATGATTGTTTTTCAAGCTTTAATAGAACAATAACAGAACGCATTCTGCCATATTTACTGATTCTTTTTCATTATGCCGTATAAAAAAATATTTCAAAGAACCAGTGAAGGATATAATTTTATAAATATTCCGGAAAGAAGGAAAACCATCTGGCAATGACTTTTATAATTTTAGATTCGCACCAGAAGATATTAAGATAATTTTGATATTAAAAATCTATTCTTATGATTATAAAAATAGACACCTTTTCCCAGTTACTTATTTCATAGATAAATAGATGTGTATATATAAGCGCCACTGGGCCGTAACATATTAATCAACAGGGTGCATATGTTGTATATACAGGCGGCACTTAATTGGCTGTGATATCATAAATCACCAGGGTGCATTTTTAGAGTTATAACATTACATCAGATAACGTCACTTTTGTTAGTTGTCAAAATATTTATGGTCCGAATTTTGTTATGGATCATCCTAGGGACATTATTGGTCATGCCTTACTGATTTGATACTCGATCAAGAGTCCTACCTACTGGCACAGTCAAAAATACATAAAATTATAATTCAGTTAATAACGAATTTCTGTGAACGTGTTTCACAACTTGTTTTTTTTTTAATATTTGATAAGCTGAGTATGAATTAAAAATATCCTTTACCAGCTTAAATATATTGGTGTGATGTACGATTTTTTGAGAGTGCATTTTTGCAGACACAAATAGTATACAGTCAAGTACATTCAAAAGAATTTTACTTTTTATGCCTTTACATTTTTTTTTTTTTTGGGGGGGGGGGGGGAATTACATATATAGATTTATGTTGTTGTTTTTTGTCTTAGTAATGCTTAAATCAAAATGATTTTTTATAAGTTACCAGTATCTTGGAATTAATTATTACGCAGCCGTGTGTCGAAACTACAGAATCCTTACATTTTTGAAACTCAAAATATCTTCTGGGTATTGTATATTAGCAGAGACATAGATACATTATTTATATCTCTGGTATTAGCAAGATAGTACGATTTAACTGCCTGGTAAAATCTTTATTATTAAGAATCTATAACGAAAATGGTAATCATGATCAGTTACCCAGCAATATGGTCTATTATTAAAACAAATCGTTCATCTTATTATAGTAAACATTTTTATTCATTTCACCATCCTTTTTATGTAATATCTTATTCAATTACACACAATTTTGGCAATTTCAATCTGCCAATTTTACAAGAGAAAGGATTAAGATCTTTATATCCCTCTTTTTATTGTACTTAATCGTATCGGCATTGTCCACCGTATCCCCCAATGACGTCATCCAAGGGCGACAACTTGAATACGGTCTTAAATGAAAGGGTCTATAAAGACCCTTTCATTTAAGCGATAACAGTCAGGGAAGAGTTACTTCCCTTACCGGATGTGACGTAAATGGGGGATAAAACTATGCAGGCCGCATAGAATGTTAGCTTATTGAAAAGTTAAATACGTAAATACTGATCGTTCAATTATGATTCTACCATTTAAAACTTACGCATGCATACATAAATTCAATATCAAGACAATAGAAAAAAATACAAAAACAAAGATTGAGATTAATTCTCGCTACGGAGTGAAACAGCGAAATTTCAAAGTGAATATATTTATTAGATCTAGATTTGCTCTAATGCCAGGATAAGAAGCTAGTAACTAAATCAATTTTTTATATTTTATAAACAACCATACACACTGAAATTGCCTATTATAAATTTAAATGGTCATTTTCTAGTTTTCTGTGATATTTTCAGTCATTTAGAAAATTCCGGCGTATTTGTAATAAGATTGCCAATGTCTTTAAATGATTGTTTTTCAAGCTTTAATAGAACAATAACAGAACGCATTCTGCCAATATTTACTGATTCTTTTTCATTATGCCGTATAAAAAATATTTCAAAGAACCAGTGAAGGATATAATTTTATAAATATTCCGGAAAGAAGGAAAACCATCTGGCAATGACTTTTATAATTTTAGATTCGCACCAGAAGATATTAAGATAATTTTGATATTAAAAATCTATTCTTATGATTATAAAAATAGACACCTTTTCCCAGTTACTTATTTCATAGATAAATAGATGTGTATATATAAGCGCCACTGGGCCGTAACATATTAATCAACAGGGTGCATATGTTGTATATACAGGCGGCACTTAATTGGCTGTGATATCATAAAATCACCAGGGTGCATTTTTTAGAGTTATAACATTACATCAGATAACGTCACTTTTATTAGTTGTCAAAATATTTATGGTCCGAATTTTGTTATGGATCATCCTAGGGACATTATTGGTCATGTCTTACTGATTTGATACTCGATCAAGAGTCCTACCTACTGGCACAGTCAAAAATACATAAAATTATAATTCAGTTAATAACGAATTTCTGTGAACGTGTTTCACAACTTGTTTTTTTTTTAATATTTGATAAGCTGAGTATGAATTAAAAATATCCTTTACCAGCTTAAATATATTGGTGTGATGTACGATTTTTTTGAGAGTGCATTTTTGCAGACACAAATAGTATACAGTCAAGTACATTCAAAAGAATTTTACTTTTTATGCCTTTACATTTTTTTGGGGGGGGGGGGGGGGGGGAATTACATATATAGATTTATGTTGTTGTTTTTTGTCTTAGTAATGCTTAAATCAAAATGATTTTTTATAAGTTACCAGTATCTTGGAATTAATTATTACGCAGCCGTGTGTCGAAACTACAGAATCCTTACATTTTTGAAACTCAAAATATCTTCTGGGTATTGTATATTAGCAGAGACATAGATACATTATTTATATCTCTGGTATTAGCAAGATAGTACGATTTAACTGCCTGGTAAAATCTTTATTATTAAGAATCTATAACGAAAATGGTAATCATGATCAGTTACCCAGCAATATGGTCTATTATTAAAACAAATCGTTCATCTTATTATAGTAAACATTTTTATTCATTTCACCATCCTTTTTATGTAATATCTTATTCAATTACACACAATTTTGGCAATTTCAATCTGCCAATTTTACAAGAGAAAGGATTAAGATCTTTATATCCCTCTTTTTATTGTACTTAATCGTATCGGCATTGTCCACCGTATCCCCCAATGACGTCATCCAAGGGCGACAACTTGAATACGGTCTTAAATGAAAGGGTCTATATGTTTGTTCCCATTCGTATATTAATGTAAAGAAGATTAAAACAGTACGATTTGATGGAATCAAAATAAATGTGAAAAACTAAAATTAACTCTATAGAAAATATGAACAGTACATCAACTGTAAAGCTATATAAAATAACGCGCATTATATAGAAAAAAAAGAGACTATTTTATAGTGTGCCTAAACTTTTTAGTATTTTCTAGAATGTTACATTTCTTGTGTATGATATGCAAGTTAATATTTTCTCTCACAGCATAAATATATATTGCAGTGACATGTTCTTATAGAAAGCCTTGTTACCCTGGAAATTGCACAAGTGGCACTGATTGTACGTGTGAGCCTGGCTTCATAAAACAAAGTCAATCTGATGGTTGTATAGGATGTAAGTTCCGTAAACTTCTATCTCGATGGTTACTGGTTCAGTTAATACTGTGAACAAATGATAACCGTCCCATGATTTCTACATCAAACAATACTGTAAATACTGTAAATAAATGATTACTATTTCCATGATTTTACTTCAGTAAGTAATATTATCATACAATGTCGGTCTCGAAGAATCCTGCTTCAAGCAATGCTTTAAAAAATGATTAATAGATCTATCTCCATAAACTGTACTTCATGCAGCCCTGTAAACAAATAACAACCGTCCCAAAGTTGCTGCTTAAGTAAATACCGGACACTTTAATAAAGTTATAACCTTCTCCATGAATTCTGCTTCAAACATATTGTAAATTAATGATTACCACCCATGATTGCTGTTTCAAGAGGTACTGGAAATATCTGTGAGCAGTATAATAAACGAATGTTTACAGTCTCCATGTTAACTGCTTCATTTATTACTTAAACATTAACCAAAGATAAAAAAAATCAGCAATGGCACGCAGCAAATGTTTATTTTGCATGCGTATTCACACAATTTAATTGCAGCGAACTTGCCGTCTTACACGTAGCAACGGTTCTTTAATCATTTGCCGATGCACTGTACCTTTCGACGAGCCAAATATCTTTTAACAACCTCGCATACGCCAGTAAGTATAGTTAGGGAATTCTCACCTTGATTAAGCAAGGCAATACAAGCATTCTATGCTGTAAACTATACATATTCATTTATCTTCATATATTTGACAGTTGATTCTACACGTGAAGAGCTTCGTCCAGTTGTCGGTAAGAGTAACGTAACATTGTCTCATATCAGAAGAGTTGATGGTAAAGTTGATTTTATGTTCATATTAGAGGGTCTGGAGGAGAAAGAGGCGGGGAAAAAAGAAATTATTTGGAGGTAAGACAATAAACTGATGCTATATAATGAGCATAAGTTCAGTCATATATATTGTATATATAATTATAATAATATTATTATATTATTAAGTTTAAATAAAATCATACATGTATTAAGTGAGTTTGTCATCAGCATAATATTGTTTTAACCAACAAGTTCAACAAATTTAGTACTGAACCTACACGAATATAAATTGAAAGTAAGTCCTGTATATATAGAAAAAAAGAATTTTCTGTTTATTATATACATTTTTCTCTTTTTTGACATTACAATTTGAAAGATTTGTGTATTGGCTGAATTTAGAAGAAAGTAGTCCGACAAGACACCAGTGAAAATGTTGACAATATGTTTCACTGCAATGAGTAAGAAAACAGTGAAAACAAGGGAAATAAAACTACACATTTATTTCATCAATATTTCCCAAGTTAAAATATTTTGTTTATTACTTATCAAGAAATCAGGTCGGTGTGCAGTTAAATATTGTTTATGGTATAACATGTATAACGTTAACAGTTTGTTTTTACGTTATGTTTGTATAACGCAAATGATGTCACGTTGCATTGTTTTACACTGTAGGTTATAAAGAGGATATTTGTTTGTTTTGCATGTGTTCCGGAATGAAATATATTTCATTCTGACTTGTGTTAAAAACAAACATATTTTTCTATTTCTTTCATGTTTTTAATTATTTTAAAGTCATTTAATGAAACCGTTTATGAATTATAAAATAGCTGTTTCATTTCTTAATATAGTTCATGTCTTTATTCTTTCAGTTTGATTTTATTAATTTTTCAAAAATTTAAAGATTTAATTTGTAACGTTACTCTAAGTTAACAATTCAAAACCAAAATGTAATGTTAGTCATGAAAATAGAGGAAAATGATATCCGTAGCATTACAGTATATTGACGTAATTTTCATGCCTTTTATGAAGGACTTGCACAGACAGGATGATCCCGATTTCCATATTGTAAAATTCAAAAACGATAAACATAAAAAGGACGGAAAATATCAATTGTTATTCTTGCTTATTTTTGCGTATGTTTGAACATCTTATCGGAGGGAGTACTTCTTATATACGTGTTTTGACGGTTTTTCGCCCCGTCCCCCTTTTTGAGGCCTCAAACAGTGAAAAAGATGCCCTATTTTGGCCCCAAACTGTTTTTCGTTTGAGAAATGTTGATAAAAAAGTGATCTTCTTTTCGGCGCCGCCCCATATCAAAAAGGTACATCAAGGGGTTGCCAGAAGGGGGCGGTCTCCCCACCCTTCTCATCGGCCAAGGATATTTTGGACATGCGACAGGCCAAAAATGGCTTCAGGTCGATTATAAGGTAACGTGTAACCAACGCTGAAAAGCCTTTTACTCTATCTCAATATGTTGAGAAATTGTGATTTTTGGCAATTTTGAGACTTACCTCCGTTGTCATAATAACAGGAAACTTAAATTTGAGCAAACTGTTACAGAGGCTTTGGTTCAGTCAACATTTGTGCCAAGTTTTATCAGTGTTCATGTTGAAGCATTTTTCATAGTTTCATAGCAGTTTTGTTTTGTAACAGGAGGCTTTTCAATGAAAAAGGCCATTTTTTACAATATGCCCATGAGGTAAAGGATTAATTAAAAAAACACAAAACAACATTTTTTCACCAAAATTAGGTGAAAGCACACGTGTTGACATGGAAAAACTAGATTTGGGTGATTCCAAGGTTTTTCATCATTTTTTTGTTAAAATGAACTGCCGCAGATACATATACATTAAATTTCTGCAGATCAACACTGTTTGGTGTGCAAAAATGTTGGTTGCTGCTGAAAAGTGTTACTGTTCAGAAGTTAAATTTTTGTGAGAAAAACACGATGACACTGTTATAAAGAAAAAGTTGCCCTGCAGACATGTGTCCAATAGAGTTCGCATTATATACATACAATCCGTAAGCGGTATTCATTACCATATATTGAGCGATTATTTCCTTCTCTGTGTAAAGTGACAAAATCACGAGTCATGTAAGAATTTAAAATAAAAAAGTATGTTCAATTATTGTTTCAATTTCTTAATCATGTCAATTGTAAATTAAAAGAACATGTTTTTATAAAAAGAGCGTTTAATTTTACAGCAACCAGAAGCGATTCAATAATCTCTATTTCGAGTATATAACATATTTCACCCAGCCGGAAAACTTGCCAAAGAGACCAATCTATGTGTCTGAAACAGAAATAGGAATAGTAGAAAGCATCATAGAAGCAAACGTCAGCAAAGTCGCCAGAGATGGTAAGGCGATTTATTACATGGAGACATGTTTTCTCTGATTACTAATACACAAGTATAACTATGAGACATGTTTTCTCTCATTAGAACTTCTAACATTATAATTATGAGACTATTCTCTTACATGGATAGCTATGATTTCAACTTCGATTATTTTTCTCTTACTAGAATTGCTGTGAAACGTTTTATCTAACTAAAGGCTAATATTGATATCACAAGACATGTTTTCACATGTTTCCTAATATTGTAACAACGACCCATATTTTGTTTAATTATTATATTGTTACTACAAGACAATATATACAATTCCATTTCCCTTTATTTAAGGTAAAATTAAACAATGTATAACCAACCTTTTCAGGAGGTATAATTAGAGATGAGGGATCATTTAAAGTCTACAAATGTGAGGGTGGTTTCTCAAAGAACAATCCAGCAGCTGAGCTGGCCACATGTATAATTGACGATGATCAGTTCAAGACACTCATTGAACATGGAGATTGGTAAGATAGTCTTATCATAATAAATGTATTCCATCCATTTGTTTCAGCAAATAATGCATATATGGATATTTACAACAACCCATTCTAATTTATTATAAAACTATTAAATACATAAGGATAACTATATCATGAAAAGAACAGCAACACTGAGGACTAAACAGAAATTAGGAAGCCAACTTTTCCAATGTGGCACTAGCATGACATTGAGTTACTTTGAGAAAATTGAACTTAAACAGATATGATTATACTTAAAACCAATCACAATAATTTCAAATCAATAATTACTCCTTTTTTATTTGATGAACGAAACACTCGAATTAAATAATATTATGGGACATGACTTGGACATTTTGTTAGAGAAAGGATTACAGTTGGAAAATAATTTGAAATCGAAGTGATAATTTAAATGGCCCATATCCAGAGCATCTATGTACATTTAAATATGTATTATTTACATTAAAAATAATACGTTCATTTATACGCTTGAAATATTCGAATATGTATTTATTGTGTAGGTTGAACATCAAGTTCAAGTCATCATCCGGGGGTTTCCAACAGTTGGTCAATATAGATGATCGGAGTAATCCATATGCTCGGAAATACTACAAAGGTCTGCAAGATATTCGAGAGGTAGGTTATTTATTTACAAATTGTATATTTGATTAATCTTAATTGAACTGATATACGTTTTAAAGTCCAGACCTAGTATAAGAAATATTTTAATTGTATGATATGTTTTGAATAAAGAATTACGTCAATGCAAGAAAATTGTAGATACAGTTTAGTAGAGTCAAGTAAATAACAGTTTAAACGTCTGTTCAACGTTAATAACTGAATTAAAGATACATGTATTTGTGTTTGGATTCATTTTCATAGATCTTTTCTATCATTCTAGATAGCCTTCGGAACAAAATTCGACAAAAAGTTGTTTTTTATTTATCAGATTTTTCAAACAAAACAGCACTGTCAATGTGTCGGTTTTTAAATACAGAGGGAGGGAATAAGAACGGCGAGTGCATTGTTGTGAAATATATTATTTGTTTATATGAGAGAAATTTTCGATAGTGTTAGAAATACATTTTCATTACAACTTGACAAACCAAAATAAAATTATATGTTAAAATCAAAATTAACAGAACAGTATTACAGATACATATCAGAAAAATATACACATTACATAAAAATGTTAAAAGGAAAGTATGTTTACTTTAATATACAACACACATATATTCTTCAATCAAATTTATCCGGGTCATTTTTTTGGTACACAATTACACCATCGGTCCATTTCTCTGGAAAAAAACGATACTCTAAAATAATATCAAATAAATCACAATTTGTCCGCATAAAATATCTTCGGAAAATGTGAAATACTCATCATTTAATAAACAGTCTGATCCGGAAGCTTTATTTGGTTATAAGGATTTTACCGCTTTACGGATCTCCTCACATGTAATGGGTAAATGGAAAGATTGTAATTTTAGACATAATCACATTTCATTAAAAAATCATTTTTGTTATTTACATTGGCATTGTTGTTTCAATCTATTTGTTCTTTTTTATGTTTTCTAAGGTACAGTTCAACTTCGACTTTGTTGCACCTAAACATTGTCTAGAAACAAAGACATGCAATTCAGCATCAGATATACTTCGTGTTGAAAAGGAATTCACAAAGGTAAATACAACCGAAATCAAATGTTAATAAAAAGGCCATAAATGATCTTGAGCTACTTTTTGGCAACATAAACATAAAAACGTCGTTTACATAGAAATGTAGTGAAAATATTTGAAAATATTCATTTATTTGTATACCGATGCGTTTTAAACAATTATTCAGGTTGATATATAATGCTTTTACTGCTATTCAGAACTAAATGTTTCGAATACCTCGTTTCTTTATATTCATATATTCTAGCACAAAAATTAAATCTTAAGTCAAAGTTACACATTCTTTGTCAGTTTAAAGTCCAGACCTAGTGGAAGAAATATATTTTAGTGGTATGATATATATTGAATAAAATTTATGTCAAGACAAGTAAATTATTCAGTTCACAACAACATTTCATTATTCTCGAAGAAACTTAAAAGTTCATTACAACATGACTGTAATATTTATCATATATCATTTTAACGAGATACTGTCATTTGTAAAATGAAACATAAACGTTGTCTTTTACGTTTTCTATGACTATAACAATCCATTTTGCTAAAGTATCGAATGATTACAGAAAAAAGATTGAACGTGTACCACATTTAAAGTGTTGAATATTTATTTGTTAATCTTTCAATTCAGGACCCTATAAAGATTCTCTGGTCCGGATGGATTGACGAACTCTGTGGCGTTTGGGAATATTACGTAGAAGTGTTTAAACTAACACCAGATCGATATGACAAACTTATCGAAGCAGAACCTTTAAAGCCTGTATTTACGAAAACCATTACACACAATAGAAACATTGCCTTTCCTTCTTACAAGCCGGAAGAACCGGGCATGTACAGGTAAAAAACAATTTTGTTAAGTTGTCTGTACTGTAATTATCGTCGATTATTTATTTTTCAATCTTTTTTTTTTCAGACTGTTAAATCATTTATCAAACGTTGTTTCATTATATTTGTTCAACTAGCTCATTCATTAACAGGTTCTCAAAACGTTATAAGGCAAGAGGATTTAGTTTTCAAAAAAACAGGGTCAATTACTTCCTCTATATCCATCACATTTCGTATTGGAGTGGCTACCCATGCCTCTCAAATACAGAAGTTAGGTCGATGGAAGTCTACAGCATATCGTAAATACATATGTTATACAAATTACTCTATATACAACTAATTAAATGTAATATTAAAACCACTAAATACATAAATCTGATGGCTCTAAACAGTTTTTGAATTGTATTTATGAAATTTTATTTATATTCTAAGATCTGTCGGTGCAAGGCAGCAGATCTTTAGGTAATTAAAATAGACAGATTTTTACAGCAAACTAAAGGTCATTTCAAACTTGAAATAATTGTCAGTGTAAGGCTGCATTTTTACTCTTTGCTGACGGTACTTGACTTAGCTCTCTTACTCGGTATCATAGTAATTATATCGTGACAACCTTGTGACTCATATATGAACAATTTGGCTTCATTTAGGTTTTATATATCAGACAGTACGAGGCTACAGGTTACATAATTAACATTTACTGATAAATACAGGTTAGGTTTTAACTACTACTATATAAAACCAATGAAGTAAAGTATCAACAGTTGAATAAATTGATGTAAATATTATGTGTGTATATGTTAATTAAGGTCTTTATGTCATTCGTAATGTTCAAATGCTATTAAATGTTTTTTATAGTTTCAGTCAGGAGTCTAAGGTCATTAATTTGAACATAAGTTTTATTCCACAGTTTTCTGCGTGTTAACATTATACCATTTGTCTACAGAGAACTCAGTTGCTTTTTTTACAATCATGTCGAATGTACCTGACAATTCAAAACTGTAGGCTACATTTTGAAGGAACCAGAAAGGTTCCTTGGTAATGTAAATATATAAAAGGGTTGGGCCAAAAGTTATAACAACATTATCGAAGGCCCTCCCAAATAGCATACGTTGCTTTTATATTTTTTTCATGAATTGAGATATTGTTATACATGATAATTCAAGTAAACTGTTTTAATAAGTATCTTTGTTTCAATCTTTAAACGGGTCAAAGAGATCAATGAGATCCGGATTGTCTTTTTCGACATCAGCAAGGCCTTTGATAAAGTGTGGCACAAGGGTCTCCTGCTTAAACTAAAATGTGCCGGTATTCAGGGACCCCTCCTCGACTGGTTTTCGGATTATCTTTCAAATAGACGCCAATATGTTGTCCTTCCTGGAATCAAATCTGATTGGTCTGTAATAAACGCAGGAGTTCCTCAAGTCTCGATTCTGGGTCCGCTTCTTTTTTTAGTTTATATCAATGATATTGTTGTTGACTTAAGGTCCTCTGTAAATCTTTTTGCCGACGATACCAGTTTGTATTTGATCGTTGATCATCCAGTTACTACGGCTGATATTCTTCAATCTGACATAAACAAGATTTCTTCGTGGGCTGACAAATGGCTAGTCAAGTTCAATCCTTCCAAATCTGAAACCATGTTAATCACACGTAAAACGTCACAACAGTTCCATCCACCCTTCCTAATGCAAAACCAGACCATATCTTCAGTGACATCTCACAAACACTTAGGCTTACACTTTTCTGACGATGGTACCTGGCATATTCACATTAATCATGTTAAGGAGAGGGCGTGGAAACGTATACATATAATGCGCAAATTAGAATTTCAACTTGATCGAAAATCTTTGGAAATAATCTTCTTATCATACATCAGTCCAATTCTAGAATATGCCGATGTTGTTTACATCAATTGTACTCAATATGAAAAAGCTGAACTAGATAAAATCCAACATGAAGCTTCTAGAATTGTATCTGGTGCTACTGCTACTAAACTTGTGTCTCTTCATGAGCTTCAACGAGAGGTCCCGCGGGAACCTCTGGACAGCAGAAGAAGGAAACATAAATTGATTCTTCTTTATAAGATGAAAAATGGACTCTCACCTGTCTACCTATCAACTATTGTCCTTCCGTCTGTAGGTGAAACCACACGTTATAATTTAAGAAATTCGAACGATATACAAGGCATTCACACAAGAACATCTTTATACTATAACGCTTTTCTTCCTTCAGCTCTCAGAGAATGGAATGAACTACCAATTGATGTACAAAATGCACCAACATTATCTGCTTTTTAGTGTCTTTTGAATAGAAACATAATAAAATGTCCAAAATTTTTCTATACAGGTGTTCGAAAATGGCAAATATATCATGCACGTCTACGAACAGAGTGCAGTTCTTTAAACTACCATCATAACAGAAAAAATATTGTAAACTCACCTTTATGTCAATGTGGATTGCTAGAAACTAACCATCATTTTTTCTTTGAATGCAAACAATACAGTACTATCAGACACAGCCTTTTCCAAACTCTTTCAGCCTACTGTAATGTCACTCTTCACACACTACTTAACGGCGATACAAACTTAAGTGACGATATCAATATCAGCATATTTCAGGCAGTTCAAATGTTTATCCGAGACAGCAAACGATTTTCATAGTCTATGATACATTGCTCCTCCAATTTACTCACCGAATAGATCCTCCTCTTTTCTTCTACTTATTAAATTAAGTTTCTTTGTGTATCTTAAATTATGAAATTCTAAACTTTATACATTTATAAACAGACAATTATTGCGTCTAATCTATTAAGTCCCTATTCATACATCTTTCAGATAGAAACTTCTACTCAACGCCCCTTTTTGTTTCTAGGTCGCTAATTTGACTTAGTGACGACAGTAACGAATCTTCTTCATTTTTGTAATCAATTACTTTTTACCTAAACTTCAATATTTCAAACATTTTCAAAACCCGTCATATTTATAGTAACTAATCTTATGTCAGGAAAAGGCCTTTATAAGCATTTTATGCTTTCGGATCTGATCCTTTTTCAGCATTGTATTGTATTATTTCACCATTGTATGTAAATCTTGTATGTGTAAAATGTTAGAAATAAAATATGTTTAAACTAAACGGGTCAAACTCTAATCCTAGTCAAGTTTCTCTGGGTGGCAGCAGGTTCTCCTTTTTGGGGATATTTACGTCCCAGATTGGTCCTTTCGATATAACTTTATACATACCATGTTTGTTATTATGTAACATTTGTCACTTATGGCTTTGCCTTGTTGATTTACATTCTTATTTTTTTAATAAATGCCCTATTTTATTCAACCTATGGGTTGTGTTTTTACCTCATACCAAACAAGTTCGCCTATGTAGTTTCATTTCGTTTGAACTGGTCAATATATAAATAATTGTTTTTTCTTTTACAAATATCAAGTGTTCTGGTGGAAACTAGAGATTTCGCAAATAACTCAAGAATAGCCAGAAGGCTTGTTTTATTTGATGACCAATCGGACATTATCCTCAATGAAAACCCTGACGGAAAACTGTACGTGAGTTCAGCTGTTAATGAAACTGGATATATGTGGCAGACTTCAAGTGAAGGTAAGTAACTTATTTTAAAAATACTTTGCTGTAAATACGTTATAGATATCCTTACAACAAATATTATTACATCTATTTGTTGTCATTCCAAAAACCTTATATTCGGCTCATTTGTGTGACATAAATCATTGTTTCCTTTTTGTTACTGAATTACATTTGTCAAAGCGAACATGTGGACATTGCCAGGCGTAAGTTTTACGTTTTACATTGACTTAATATTTCAATGCTCCCCGTAAGAAGAACATAATATTTGCTGCCTAATCCGTTTTTCCGCCGTCTGAAATAACTTGAAATATTTAAAAGAAATTTGAATTAAACGTCACACAGTCATAAATAGTGGTAAAAAAACCCCATAATTTTACATTGCTTATTTTTTTTATTTAGTTATCTACAAATATTATACTAAAAAGTGTTAAATAATGCTTGTACAGATTATAACGTCTAAACTATCAAAGAAATCTCATTGAAGCTCTTCGAACTATTTTTGTTTTAATTATATCTTCTTACAAGATTCAATAATGTTTTCCCGAGAATAACTTAAAAGGTAATAAAGTTATTTTATTAACACTTATACAGTGATGGGTAATAATGACAGGACGTGCAGTGTATAGAGGCCATAATTCTATCTTGCTTAATCGTTGGTCACAGTATTTACAGTGACCTACCTCTGGCTTAAAACTTATATCTTTGAGTTTTACTCCGTAAAATTGCATGGAGATAAAATGTCACCACTTTGTGCCTAAATTTTATCGGGGTTGTCCGTGGCCGAGTGGTTAAGGTTGCCCACTTGCCACTCACCACTGTAGGCTCGAATCCCGACAGGGACTTTGGATTCTTTCATGTAAGGAGGCCATCCAGCCAGCTTACGGAACGTCGGTGGTTCTACTCAGGTGCCGATTTGTGCCTGAAATAATGCACGGAAGGGCGCATGAGGTATTCCTCCACCAGTAAAGGTGGAACGTCGCCATATGACGTTAAACCCAATTAAACAAACAAACAAATCAAAATTAACCCTGAAGTTCCGTAGTCGCCTGTAAAAGGTGCTTTTTGTGCCCTTACGGACGTGTGATTCCTGATTAAACATATACTATATAATGCATGTACTGTTAAAAAAACTACAATTTTATATAGTTTAGTTTTTTTAATAATCTCTCTGTATAAATGATTAAAGTGACATCTCTATAAATGATTAAGGTTACAATGCGCAAATTAAAGTGTATTTTGTGAGTGTATTAGTAACAATCAAAATAACTTTCTATTTTGCCACAATTTGTTCCAAGTAATTACAAATTATTTTAATATGTATAATCAATAACCACTTTGCCTCGTTTTTCTCCCTTTATCATAATTTTACATTTTGTAGGGATGTGAAGCAACTTGAAAAATAGTTTAGAATTTTATAAACACAAACTATAGGAACTAGAGACAGGAAATTGGGTGTCCAAGACCAATAATGCTTCGTACATGAAAAATTATACACATTTGTTCGTACAGGCTTTATTGACTAATGTGGAGAGTCAGATATTCTTATTATTCATTTTCTGAAGAAAGACTACTTTGAAAAAAATCATGTGATATTTAAAATAATTATTTAAACAAAAGGATTTAATGGTAATGGAAAAAACAACAATATTTTAATCAAATCAATAATTGTGTTATTGTTAACCATTATTATTTTTACCACCATCTTTTTCAGGAAATGATGTAACTATCGATGTAGCCTGGTCAAATCATTTTATTAATAGGTTAATTGAAGACAATAAGTTGCTTTATCGCGTTGACTCATATCCAATCCAATTCAAGGAAATTCAAGATGATGGCATACTTTATAGTCAAAAGTAAATACATGTATTTTGATACTTTCTCACTTAGATAAGTTTAGTTTTAACTTCTTTTAGTTCGAGAATAAAAGTCATGCAGTTCATCAAAAGCGCCATCGAGTCTGCTTACTAGAACTAGTTTAGCTGATGAATCATGGCGGGCTTGGATCCATGATGCCTAGGTTGAAAGGCATATATTGTACACAGGTGTTCTTATAATTGGGAAAAGATCAAGTGTATAAGAAAATGTGTGTTTCTATAAATTAAAAGAAAAAGTTCTTAAAAAAGTTATCATTGTAGTGCATAATTACTTACTGGATATGCCTATTTCTGATGTGTCTTCTGCGGAATATTCATAACCGCCTTCATCACCTTGAGTTATTGTAATTTCATTGTTAAGTCATTACCAGATGTTAGAAACTTAAGGGGTAAATCTGTAGCGCACCACTGTCATTAAGGACAAAGTAAATGTAGGAAAATAATACACGTCTTCAGGTAAGTGAAGTCAGGCCTATATTTGTTACCTCTTAAAGTCCGTGTCAAAATACACAATTGTCGTCTAGATGAGGGGATTCCAGAACAATGATAGATGTTTACTATTGTTATATGTCATTAAGTAATATAGGTTAATTATATTATTAGAGTAGGCTGCTTTTCCTCATAATACTATGAACTTGTACAATTTTGAATTTTGAAACATCCGCAGATGTATTCATATGGCGGTTATCATGGAACCTTCAATGTGACACGTAAGTGCCATTCCATGAAAAGCAGCATATGGTCCCAAAGTAAAAAAATGCGTGTGCCCTAAACGAGAAAACAATGGGCGGAACTAAATAAAATGGAATTGAAAAGGGATCAGAGGTTATGAAATAGAGAAATACAGAATCCCTAAAGAAAGCCCAATACGACAAAATTGAAAATGTTGCAGGCTCGGTTTGATTGAGTCTGTTCACGGAGCCTGCATATCACAGATAAGACGTCAAAAGACAAATTTAAAAAGCAGGCCACATATCCTAAGGGTGATTCAACAGTATTCAAGTGAGGAATACTGGAACTACCCAACAAGAAAAAAGCAAAATAGAAAGAACTAAATTACCACAAGCACAACAATAATGTCGTGTTGAACGATCTTTAAGGATCGGAAATATAACATCTCTGATTGAATGTACGGGGCGACTTGTGTCCTGAACGAGAAAACAATGGGCGGAACTAAATAAAATGGAATTTTGAAAAGGGATCAGAGGTTATGAAGCCTGCAAAGCAGCAACATTTATAATTAGTTCAGCTCTTAATTTTATATCCTTATAGATATATCTAGCCGTGTTTTTTTAATATTAGTAAGGTTACTAAAAGCTTATATTCTACAGAAATTGTTCAAACACGACATATTTTTATTTGAGGTCACTATATATGGGACACAATAGCAAGAAATGGTATTCAGTTTCAGCATTTTAGACGAGACAGTTATTAAACAACATCGAAGTTTTTTTATTCATAAATTATTTTTCTCATAATTTTATTATTTCTAACCAAGATTAAAGAACGAGGAAATCGGCCAAGGTCTCCAATGACAACAGTCTTTGATGTATCAGGACGAACCCCAATAACGTTTTTTTCAAAACTTAAGGTGAACTTTCTCAACTTTGTTATCGTAAATCCCCAGACTTCTGAACCGTACATAATTATTGGAGTAACTAGGGAGTTTAACATAGACATCTGTGTTTTATCATCTATTTTAATTCTACTGAAAAATGATATCAGATTATTTTATACCTTAAGAGCTTTGCAATTTGACAGCATTTATCATATTGCCTGTGTACAGAAATTTTACAATAAGATAACAAACAAATCGATAATTTCAACATTTTCTTCGTTGATAGAGAAGTTATTTTATCTTTTCAAGTATACACTTTTAGTATTGTCATTGATGACATTAATTTTAATGCCTATTTCTTAGAATACTCATACAGATTATCAGTCTGGCTTTGAGTTGGCTGTAAATGAAGTAATATCATCAACTAATAGTAAACAATGAGACTAATGACAAATAAACAATAGTACATGTATCATTTACAAACAAAATAATCAACAATGGCGGGAGTGGTCCCCTTGTTTTATGCCAATCAAGATATCAAAAAGGTTAAAATAAGGCATTAGACAAGTATCCTTTTTGCAATATTTGAAATTTAAGTCATGATCATTCTTATCATTTATTATTAATAATTGTATGAATAAGAAATAAAGACATGAATTACGTTTGGAATTTATACTGTGTTGACTTACTGATATTGAGTTATATAAGATCAGGTACATATAACACTACAATTATTGGAAGAGCTGTCTTATTATTGATTGGGATATTGTTGCAGAAAGAATAAAAATATACATTTGCTTATCTAAAAAATTAATTTCATTTACCAAATTGTACATTTGTCGTTTTATAGATTCGTACAAGATTCCTTAGACGACAACGAAGGAAATCGAACACTTGACGCTATTGAAAACTATCACGGAATCGTTAAATTTGAAGTAGCAACTGTTCTATCAATAGATGATGAAGAACCAAAGTCAACATGGAAAAATTTGGAACCATTTCAAGAGAAAACCTCATTTCAGTTGAAGCTACAGGAGGGTAAACTTTGTACTTGCATTATTAATTTATATACCTTCTTAATGACTTTTTTACGTTTAAGATAGAAAATTTCTTCATTTTGTTGAAACTTAATTGTCCTGTTAATAATTTTTTTACTGGTGACAGAAATATGCCACGATATTCTATAGATATTTTGAACGCTATCAGGGTTATAAAGCAATAACCTGTCTTATGTAGACACGTACATATACAATCACATATTAAACGTTACACGTTATAAATTATAATAACAGGAAGCCGTGTTCGCGTGTGGGTCCGAGCGACAGATGTAATGGGAAATATAAAAACGGACAGTACTTTGGTAAGGTTTGATAATACAGAACCTACGATATCTTCTCGCGGGGATGACCACATGTTTGAACCGAACATTGAAAGTACAAAATATAATTTCTCTTCGAGGTAAGGTTTATTTTCATTCACCCCACAAAGAGTTTAGTTAAATGCCAGAATGAAATGTTACCGTGTAACCAAATGCATAACGCCTTTGTCTTCAAGGTGTAGCTCCAGTTTTCAGTCGGTCTGTTCAAAATATTATGAAAATAGAAACTTAAATGTCCAAAAAAGTTTTTATCAAATATAGGAATTTCTAATTAAATAGTAAATTATTACACACAACATTATACACTGTTATTTTTATTTCTCTAATACTCGTTGTTTAATTCTTACATAAACAATAAATTATGAAACAATGTCTTAAAAATTACATGCAAAATGTATATGCTATTGGCTATGGTTAGATAAATGCCAAGGTATTCATTTGAATTGAATTATCTTGTTTAGAATAATGATATCGTTTAAAATGTTGATGAAAGAAAAGTATTTTCTCCTTAATTACCAATTATCTTATTTCCGTTCAGGATGCAACCTCTCGGCGTAAACTATCAATACGTTATGATAATTAACATGCAATTGAATTTTATCGTTTTACGTTGTGACCATTAAAATACCTTCAATAAAACCCAGTAAATATTCATTCTGAATAAAGCCAGTGACAGGAGCTAAGCTATGTACAAAGTGATACTTTAGTGTAGATAATTCCTCTTGGAGAGCCTTAGTTTAGTTCTGAAGACTACTATTATTCATTTCAATAACACAATTAATTGATCATGTTTAATACCGTCTTCGTAGTAAACTTGTAAATAGCAGCATGTATTTTATTTCAATTTTCTCTATGTATGTTGTTTGTATTTTACATATAACATGGTCTTTGATTATTGTATCACTTTTACACAGTATATTCTTTCATAATTGGGTTATTGGTAATAAATTAATTGAAAATTTAAAATATGAATTGAAAATATCCAAATTTTCTTCTAGACTATAAATATCAAATACGAGTTTCTTATAGTATTATTTTAATATCTGACATGTGTAGTTATTGAGTTAATAAATTAAGTGAGGTAAAATTATATATAAATAATAACACATTAGTAAGTGGATAACATTTGAAATAAATACCACGTCAAGGAAATGTTGTTAACTTAGGCTTTTACTTGAGAGAAAGTACTGATGTTCATTATTTGAGCATCATGACATCTACAAGTTTTAAAGATACATAGATATTATCTTATCAGAAACAAAGCTTTTTAATTATCTATCTTTACAAAGAGTGCATTCAATGTTTTGATTTTGAATAGTGTTTTAGAACTGTGTTCCACAAGTAAAGTAAGTTCTTTGAATCATCCTTTGCTGTATGCTTAAATCGTTTGCTTGTTCCGTTTAGATAAATATACTCCCTAAGCTAAATCTTCCACTGTTTTACAGGTTGCTTCCATAACTATTCAACCAAATGATGTTTTAAGAGCGAAGTTAAATCTTTGGTGCTTAAAAACACATTTGTGATAGCCATATGCACTAGTTTACCGAACAAAAATAATGACAACCATCTTGTTTTCTGGCTGTACCATGCAGTAAGATTGTAGGTTAAAAATGTTGCTTATGTAAAGTAAAATGTCGTAGTTACACATTACACCTGCTTAAACAGTAATAGTACCTACTGGCGTTTGGGAAATTAACGTTGCAAAAAGTGAACATCTACATTTATTTCAGGATAAAGTTCCTTTCCTCTGACAAAGAGAGTGGCGTACATAAAATTGGATTTTCTATCATAATTAAAACTACAGGCAAGGAAGACAGGGTTATTTATGAAGGCTTTGCACCAGCATCGATTTCAAATGTACTTTGGTTTGCATACATTCATATTGCATTAATATCCTTTTTTCTCGTATTCTCAGGGGGGTTAAGGAATAAAATGTAAATTGCAAAAGATTTAAACCATTTCCTGAAGGAAATTGATGAATATGTCCTGCAAAATATATATTAATCAAATATAATACCAGAAAACTAATGCAATTGTAAGTTGAACAAGTAATTTTGATGTTATAAATACTGACTTTCACCCTCTTAATTAGCCAGACACTTTTTGGTATTCTCGGGGATTATTGGCCGGTCGCTAATTGTCATTTCCTTTCTTCTCATCATTTCATAATTGTAGTGCAACAAGTAATTGATAATTTGGGAACAAATTGATAAAATTAATTGTAGTTGAAATCGGCTTAACTTTAGATTTTCTTTTATCAATGAAATTTTAATAATGTGTTTTATAGAATTAATGAAAATAAAAATAACGAAATATCATTATTTAATTTAACCATATGGATTATATAGCCAGCTTTTTTAAAATTGAGATCACTTTGTAAATGCAGTATCACTATTTAACATTCATAGACACTTTTATTATGCTCCCCGAAAAATTTCGGGGGAGCATATAGTCGGCGCCTTGTCCGTCTGTCCGTCCGTCCGTCTGTCCGTCTGTCCGTCCGTTGTCTTGTCCGGAGCATAACTTGAAAACCCTTGGAGATAATTTGTTGAAACTTCATACAGTGGTAGAGGGCATCAAGGGGGAGTGCAGTGTCAAAGAACCATAACTCTATTTTGCCCGGTTTTTGAAATATCTCCCTTATAGAAAAATCTTGTCCGGGGCATAACTCTAAAACTATAAGAGATATCAACATGAAACTTTGTAGGTGAATAGATTTCAATGGGTAGATGTGCAGTGCATAAGAACAATAACTCTTTTTGTCCTAATTTTGGAGTTATTGCCCTTTGTTTATTTTAATACTTTGAACTTTGTCCGGAACATAACTTGAAAACCCTTGGAGATAATTTGTTGAAACTTCATACAGTGGTAGAGGGCATCGAGGGGGAGTGCAGTGTCAAAGAATCATAACTCTATTTTGCCCAGTTTTTGAATTATCTCCCCTAATAGAAAAATCTTGTCCGGGGCATAACTCTAAAACTATAAGAGATATCAACATGAAACTTTGTAGGTGAATAGATCTCAATGCGTAGATGTGCAGTGCATAAGAACAATAACTCTTTTTATCCTAATTTTGGAGTTATTGCCCTTTGTTTATTTTAATACTTTGAACTTTGTCCGGAACATAACTTGAAAACCCTTGGAGATAATTTGTTGAAACTTCATACAGTGGTAGAGGGCATCGAGGGGGAGTGCAGTGTCAAAGAACCATAACTCTATTTTGCCCAGTTTTTGAATTATCTCCCCTTATAGAAAAATCTTGTCCGGGGCATAACTCTAAAACTATAAGAGATATCAACATGAAACTTTGTAGGTGAATAGATCTCAATGCGTAGATGTGCAGTGCATAAGAACAATAACTCTTTTTATCCTAATTTTGGAGTTATTGCCCTTTGTTTATTTTAATACTTTGAACTTTGTCCGGAACATAACTTGAAAACCCTTGGAGATAATTTGTTGAAACTTCATACAGTGGTAGAGGGCATCGAGGGGGAGTGCAGTGTCAAAGAACCATAACTCTATTTTGCCCGGTTTTTGAATTATCTCCCCTTGTAGAAAAATCTTGTCCGGGGCATAACTCTAAAACTATAAGAGATATCAACATGAAACTTTGTAGGTGAATAGATCTCAATGGATAGATGTGCAGTGCAAAAGAACCATAACTCTGTTAAGCCTTATTTTTGAATAATCTTCCCTTTTAGAAAAATCTTGTCCACGACATAGCTGTAAAACTATAAGAGATATCTTCATGAAACTTTGTAGGTAGATAAATCTCAATGGGTAGATGTGCAGTGCACAAGAATCATAACTCTACCTTGCCTAATTCTGGAGTTATTGCCCTTTGTTTATTTTTACTTTTTGAATTGTCCGGGACATAACTCGGAAATCATAAGAGATATCATCAAGAAACTTTGTAAGTTGATAGATCACATTGATTAGAAGTGCAGTGCAAAAAACAGTTATTTTTAATAATTATTGCACTTTGAACTTTTTCCACGGACAAAACTCTGAAACTACAAGAGGTGTACTTTCCTGTGTCCAAAACCTATTCGGGGAGCATCACCCGGCTCAAACCGGGCTCTTGTTTTTTAGATTATTATACAAGAATGTGTTGTTTTTGTGTATTTTAAGTCCACTGATGACCCACTCTGCTTTGTGATAGAAGGGAAGTGTTTTAAACCGTATCAGAATTTATACCTGGATAACTGCTGGTTCATGGTCAGCAAGGGTGATCTTGACAATAGTATAGCTTCTGTTGAAGTTAATGCGTATAACCAAGCCCTGCTAAATAAATCCGTGACGTTTGACGTAAGTACCCAAGAAAGATACCAATACAATGAAACGTATTTGGGACACATGTGGTGTTAAATATTATAAAATAAAATCTGAAACCGACCTTGTAGTCAGATTTATTGAATTATATTTTGCCTTCATAATGAAAAATGTAAGTTTGAGACCAGGTTAGATTAACAAAATAAAACACACATTTATATATATTTAATAATATTGTCTTTGCTTTGTGTAATTTTATAGTAAATGCTAAATAACTTCAAATGCTAGATGAAATCCTATCTAATTTGTAGAATGAATGCCTTGCAATACGATATCACTCCTTGCATTTAGATGGATTCTTATACACAACATAACTCTTCCTTACAATTTTTATTTTGTCCATAGTGCATTGTGTTACTTTGTCAACATTGTTATCAATTGTTGATTCTTTCAGATCGGTCCTGTGAAAAATCTTGAGGGACTCGAAAAATGTAAGTGTAATGAAGAATAATTCTTAATTTTATTGTTGTAAACAAAACACAAGTATAGATCTTATAATGAGAATTCCAGATATATATTTTTTTTTCAAATACAGGAGTATTGAATAGAAAATGCAATCGAAATTTATCATATTGTTGAAACATTTAGATAGCGGTCCTGAAAATATACGTATAGAATCTCCTACACCAAATGGTTTCCGTGTCGCTTGGGATCTTCCTGAGAAGACATCCTGTTATGGATTGGCGGAAATAGCATTGGTTCTCCTTAGAAAGGTAATGTTGTTATGCTTACTTCTAGCGTTTTTTTTACTTTCTACTTTGGAGATTTTGTAAATAAATTCCATTTACAAAGATTAAAAATTCACTTGTAATGTTGATCAAAGTCAACGTCGCATTGATATTTGCTGTATTGTTTGGTTTATCCATCAGTTATATATGGTTTCTGTACATTTTTATTATTTTGTATAAAATTGCAGATTTGATTTGACTTTGTGTTATGTTACGTTGACTTTATATTCTTCTCTTTACATATCCTTGGTCGTATAATTTTTGTGGATTTCTAATTTTATCTTAACTTTCAAGTGATTTTTTTCTGTTATTATAAGGTTTTTTTGGTAACTTTATTACATGAAAGACTTTAACAAAGTGGCGATTTTCAAGAAAAACTATCTTGAATTTAGGAACCAAAAAGATGAATTAAGTGTAATGCACTTCTGAACAAACTCCAGTAAATTTAGCTATTGTTGGAAAGCCTTCGACTGAATTCGTCCACACCATTATTTTGTTTATATGTTGTTGTGTATTTGCTCCCAGACTAGACATTAAAATGCATCAATGTAATTTCACATTATGCGTTTTTTAAGTTATTGAAATAGATATTTAGTCTTCGCACGTACTGATAATTGCATTTGCACAACTATGGTTCCTATTGATATAAAGTAGAAAAGCAACAGTTATAACATTAAATTATGAAGGCATCATAGTATTCGAACGTTTTCCTACTTAATTCTCCCTTTACAAAGAACGATAACTGTTTAAGAAACCAATTCAAACATGTTTTCTATATATAATGAAGGATGGGAGAGAGCCAATAAAGACATATTATACATCTGGTTCAAGCAAATATTTTGATATCCTGGGTCTTGATGCTGTCACAGAATATCAAATTAATTTCGGAATGAAAATGCCTCGAGCATCTGCCCTTCAGCAAACGGACGTTTCATTAAATGTAAAAACAGGTATGATTCTGCCTACATAATATTTGAACAGAATTTCTTTTACAACATTCACATGTATAAGCAGATTTATTTTAAACTTTATCAAAATAATATTTGTTAGAGAAGTAAGGTACCTTTAGGTTTGTGTAGAAAAGGGGACAATTTACTATATTTAATGGTATGCTTCACAAAATAGATTGGTTGATTATGTTGAATACTTTTGTTCTTTTATATATTTACCTTTTTATTCCTCTCCAGAGGCACCTGTTGAAGCAGAAAGTGCTACCGGATTAATTATAGGAGTCGTTGTTGGTATGTAAGAAAATAGATTAAAAAGAAATTTTAACGAATACTCAAAATGGCAAAATTTAAAAAGTTGCTGGCTTGGTTTGTTTGAACCAATTCATGGACGGCAGCGACAAGTGCAAAATACAGTTTATGACATCTTGTACATGCTACACGAATACTTAACATTTAATATTTGATAATTGAAAAAAATGATTCATATATGTTAATATGTTAATGTTAATATGTTAATACGGCTTTGACGTGCAACTTCTCACTTCGTGGGTAGTCCGAGGCTATATACCCTGCGTATCACAGAATACTACATATATTTAAAAGCAGGCTACATATCCTGGACTAAATGAATCTTTCAAGGATAAAATATGTTGTTCGATCTAAAAATATCATAAACACAACCGTATTGCTAGAAAACTTGAAAGAAATTGAATTGACATTCTGCTTATTAATTTATTTTGCTACTAAATGTCCTAAATGATAGAATTTTCAATAGAGGTCCTATACAAAATTTATTTTACTTGTGAAAATTAAACATTTTTGCAAAATTTAAAAAGTTAACAGGGATAAATCAATAGCCTACAGACAAATTATCATTACTTCAAGGAAAACAATTTGTGTTTCACGAGGGTATTTTACTTTAAAGTATAATGTATTGGTTGTCCATTTGTCTAATGTATTGTGTCGATATATCTCGCTTTTTTTTTCAATTTGTTGTATCATTTCTGTACATGTCTAATATCATATAATCTTGTTCATTTTCCCAATTATCTTTTCATGTTCATTTATTATAGCTTAATTACAAAATGTAACACAGGTATCATAGTTTGACGACTTTACTATTTAAAACGTGTCATAGTCAAACTGTATACCAATACATGCACAGTGCGTTAACTGGATTGCAGGTAAAAGGTACCCGCACTCTCTGTCTGTCTAGAGCATGCTCGTTGATTTGCTCATTTTTCCGGGGTCTTCTTATTGCGACGACAGGGAAAGAGATAAAAATAAAAATGTCATATTCAGATGCTCGTACATTGGTTACTTTTTTTTCTGGGGTTTAATATTGTAACGACAGGAACGTGTTTTTATCTTAATACAAAAGAGATAAGTGCAAAATTCCGTCCATGATGATTAATACTCCCCCTCGTACAAATCAGATAGTCTTGTGTTTTGATGCTGTTTCTGTTACTTAATGTCAATCCTCAACACTTATTTCTTCAGTTTGGTCGTAAAACACCCGAGTTTAAAGGCATGCAGGCGCACATTATACATGTATTTCTTACCACGAAGTAGGTCGTAGCGTTCTTTCGTAACGGAGAAATACAAAACGTTTATAGCTACAATGATAAGTAAACATTAATTTCATTGTTTGTTTGTTTGTTTGTTTGTTTGTTTGCTCAGAATTTATCATAAAATATTTTTGTCATTTAGGAATGTTGGTTCTTCTGATTGCCGCTATTGTTGGTATGCTCTTCCTCATTAGAAAGGGATACATAAATCCTGCCGAGAGGGCTCGTACTGTCCGGAGAGCCGTCACTCAGAGGGTAAGAAACACAACGAACAGAGGACCAGGGGGTTCAAGACAGGGTGGATCTCGAAAAGTGGCTTATGATGTAAGATATTTCCTAAAATTAAGCAAGAATAAATTTGACATATTGAATGATATAGTTACGGTTTTCAAGATCATAGGCTTGGTAGCACATTTTACCGGTTTCTTTACTTTTATTTCAGAACCAGGACAGTGAATTGTATATTTATGGTGGTATGGATGTGCAGAAACCACAGATATGGCACATCAATAGGAATGATGTAACGTTTGAAGCATTGATCAAAAGTGGAAACTTTGCTAACATCTATAAAGCTAGACTTAAAACCGGAAAAAGTGCCGGAGAAATAGTTGTAGCAAAAACACTTAAAGGTATTTCTCAAATTAAAAATAAATGTTGTTTGTATCATGTTGAAATCATTTTCTTAAAAATACACTGTGAACTGAATACGTTTTATTTTATCAAAAAAAATTATCATGTGTTTTCCATTTTCCAAATGATATGTGTTATCTTGATTAAGTTTCAAATACCCTTCTATTGTATTAGAACGATTTACACCTGAAGACGAGTTACTTATGAAAGCTAAAATCAATTTCACTGGTGAAAAAGTTGGAAGCCATCCAAATGTTCTGAAGTTCATTGGAGCTGTTGTACATGACGATGCAAGTTGGTTGCTTTTCTTTATATTTGTCACTTGCTTTTAATTCATATGAGCCGCGTCACGACAAAACCAACGTAATGCGTTTGCGACCAGCATGGATCCAAACCAGCCTGCGCATCTGCGCAGTCTAATCAGGATCCATGCTGTTCGCTTACCAACCCTATTACAAGTAGAGAAACTGATAGCGAACAGCATGGATCCTGATCAGACTGCGCGGATGCGCAGGCTGGTCTGGACCCATGCTGGTCGCAAACCCATTATGTTGGTTTTGTTGTGCCGCGGCTAGATTCATTTATTTACAGAAGTTCAAATTTTATATTGTTTGATCATGCAATGGAATAAAACATTGTTTGAATTGTAAAAAAAATGTACATGTCCTTAAAAACAACTTATATGGATATTTTGTAAATACAAAACGCCTTACTTTCTAATTGTTTTGATGCTGTCAAGGTAACATCGGAAAAGTGGTGTATGATTTTTAACTTGCAAAAAGTTCATTACAATGTTTTTATTTTGTAAACATATATAAGTAACAGTAACTAAAATCATGGTAATTGTTATTTAGTGGGACCATTTATTATTTACGAGTTCTGTGAGAATGGAACACTGAGAGATTACTTAGCTGAACGAAAAAACAACGTTACCATGGAGTTACAAGAAAATCTTTTCCGATTTGGTCTGGACATTGCAAAAGGAATGGAATTTCTCGCTGGAAAAGGGGTATGACATCTAAATACTCCTTATGCACTGTATTTTACACACACAATTTCCCTGATCCTCGCTCTGTGAGTGATATATAACTTCCAAGTATTTAATTTCAATACACCAATATCTTTAATGTAATCATTAAAAACGATAAATCAATTCAAAGTTTTATAATCTTATATCAAGTTATATGTATTTAACAATAAACAGTTATATATGCAGAAAATACATCATTTTTAAATCTGACACATCTCGAAAGAAAACATTCAAAAAAGCTCTTCGTTATTTATCTTAAGCATAGTTACCTGTATTTAATGTATTTCCGTTATACATATGCTAAGTAACTCCTGACTCATTCTCATATTTCCAGTTTACTTATTTCCGTGTCAAATTAAATGTTTCTTGAGCATTACCGTATGGATACATTTGCGGATGATCCATAATACTTAATTGAACGTTATATTTATATGTAAATGTTGTATGCTGCATACGCCAAAGCTACGGGGTGTAATTTGTGGCTTACATATACCACTGACGTTCTTAAACAGATTCACAATCTTTTTACACAAAAGAATTAATTAAACCATATTCACTCCAAAGCATCAATAACAGAAAAATAGCAAATAGAAAATTTGCCCTGTTGTGGCTAGAGGGCTAAGGAAGCGCCTATTGTCACAGGATATGGTCTACTCACGAACCGATTGATAATTGTTAGGGTCATAGAGTTTAAATGAATTACCTTTATATATTCTTTTGACAAATAATCTATTGATGATACATAATTATCAGATGTAACTACACCTACATCCAATCATTCCAGATTGTTCACCGCCGTCTCGCTGCTCGAAACATTCTTCTGAATTTCCTAAATGAGGTGAAAATTTCTGGGTTTGGACCACAACCTTCGGAAGAAGATGGAGGGGACGCGGAGAAAGGGAAAAGGGTAAACACTAAAATGTTATATGTTTATACATTTATATCTCGATTATTACTTAGAAGAGTATATGTACACTAACTCTTAAAGTACTAGTTTTATTGATGGTACCATGTATATATGCAAATAATAGAAGCAAAAATTGTATGGTAGATATGGACGATGAATATGACTTGTAAAGAATTAAATGATGATTCCAGTTGCCTATGCAATGTTAATAATTTGGTTATTTCAGGAGCGTATACCCGTTAAATGGGTGGCACCAGAGTGTATGGAATCTACTCGTGATGCAACAGAAAAAAGTGATGTTTGGTCATTTGCTGTAGTCTTGTGGGAAATATTCACTTTAGGTAAAATAATAACTAGTGTGTGTCTTCTTTGTTTGTATTCAGAATTTCTATAGATGACATGCATTAAAGCCATCTGCTTAGATAATGTATTTGCTGATATTTGTGCAGTTTACCATCATTCTTTCTTGATATGTTCGTGATTGTTTTCAATAGTAGACAGACTACTTTCCATTTAACGTCTTTTGTAGCATAAGTAAACAAGTGACAATTTATTTAACTATAAATAAAGATACCATCCACTGCATTCACAGTATATACAAGTCTTAAAAAAGGACACAGACATACAAGTATTCAATCAGAAAGGCTAAGTAAAATATAAATAGAAAAAAAGGAAACTACTCAGCTATGATATTTTAAAAAGGCGTATTGTATTATATTTGTGAAATAGCAGTCTTTATTTTCACCTGCTGAAATTTTACCAATAAACTTGCAGCATTTGTACCATGTTATGGTCCCAAATAAATAATTATTGGGTAAGATCTTACCACTTTTACCTTGTTTTCAGTTTCCGATATTCCAAAATGCCTGTAAGAAATGCATTTTGTTTTCTATCTAAGCTCGTTTTCATTTTTAGTGTCCAAAAGTTTCATATCGAGTCCATATTGTAGTCAAAGTATCTATCACGTTAATACATGTATTGTTTTCTTAACAGGGGATACACCATACCCAGGAAAAGGAACTGATCTTCCTAAACGACTTAAGAAAGGAGAACGCTTGGCCAAACCGGAACAGTGTGACGACACGTAATATATCCTGTTTCACATATAAAATCCATACTCTCTCTTTCTCTGGCAATATTTTAAGCTATAATAAAGCCTATAAAATTATGTAACATATTCTAAATATGCACCCTGAGTTTCCTTTTTTTAAAATTATGTGAGGTATATAGATATTCGTCCAGTTGTAATTAAAGTATTCGAATATTGCAGATGGTATGCAGTCATGAAGAAATGTTGGTCATATGAACCGAGCAAAAGACCAAAGTTCAAGTCTGTTAGACAAGAACTGGACAATCTGTTCGTAGCAGCACCTGGTGATGACTACTACTTTTACAAGCGATAAATGATCATGGACTGTGTGGAGTTGATTCAACTGCAGCGTATAACAAACATAGCAAATAGCGATACAAATTAATTAACACCTGGAAATAAGCATACATATTGTAATGATTACAATATAAAAGTTTTAAAGTTGACGCTATAAAATATAAATGTAACCATCAGTATGCCAATGACTCTTTATGTATATTCTAATTAGTTTGTTTAAAAATAATTAACAAGCATGTTCTTATCACAGACGCTTGGGGGTCAGATCCTGCCCCCCCCCCCCATCGTGATACGCCCCTGTAAACACTCTACCAAAACTATTTTAATATTTAAACACAAATTGTACATCTGTTACAACGATAAAAATGGTTTTCAAACAATTTTTACGTATATGAAAACAAATACCGTATACCATCAAGTCTCAATAAAGTAAAGATTGCAGACTCCAAAATGTAAACACGATCACCCTTGTATAATAAAACCTTTATAAATCATTATTAAATGGACCTTACCATGACTTTTTCGGTGTAAATCAATAGAAAAGAGAATTATCTCCTAGATGCAATCAGAATAAACATTTATACATCTCATTGTAATATGAAAATCAACATTTAATTAAAACCGAAAGTAAATTTTGCGTTCTGTCCAACCAATACGAGACCTGAGCCCGGCTCTGTGTGGAGCGCTTGTCAAGCCGGTATCCAAACGGTGTAGATGTTTTCAACTAGATATCTACTCGAGCATTATATCCTCATGTCCAAATTCAAATATTTAAATTGAGCATTATATAGAATTAAAATAAAACTTGGGAAACAACACATTGTGCATCTTGGTAATAGTTTTATTACAAATAAATGTCTTTTAAACGAGCAGCTAATACGCGGGACATGAGGATATAATGCTCGAGTAGATATCTAGTCGAAAGCATGTACACCGTTTGGATACCGGCTTGACAAGCGCTCCACACAGAGCCGTACTCAGGTCTCGTATTGGTTGGACAGAACGCAAAATTTACTTTGGGTTTTAATTAAATGTTGATTTTCATATTACAATGAGATGTATAAATGTTTATTCTGATTGCATCTAGGAGATAATTCTCTTTTCTATTGATTTACACCGGAAAAGTCACGGTAAGGTCCATTTAATAATGATTTATAAAGGTTTTATTATACAAGGGTGATCGTGTTTACATTTTGGAGTCTGCAATCTTTACTTTATTGAGACTTGATGGTATACGGTATTTGTTTTCATATACGTAAAAATTGTTTGAAAACCATTTTTATCGTTGTAACAGATGTACAATTTGTGTTTAAATATTAAAATAGTTTTGGTAGAGTGTTTACAGGGGCGTATCACGATGGGGGGGGGGGCAGGATCTGACCCCCAAGCGTCTGTGGTTCTTATCACTAATTAATCTGAATATAACATGTACATATATTTATACATGCTTCAATCATGCGGATAAAATGAGGAAATTGTTTTACTTTGGGCTTTGTTCCGTTGTTTTGAATTCGTGGTCAGAGGAATTCAAAATATATGCCCCTCGCTGATATAGGTTTAAATCTGCCAGGGACATTTGGGTTTTTATGAGAGTCTAATCTTGAAATTTGCTATTTGTCATTTATAGTGTCGATGTGACGTAAAACACAATAAAATAAGTCTTTATTTTTCAGTCTGATGGTACCAAAGTCTGTGTCTGTAGACATGTATTATGAATAAATATCTGACTTTACTTGTAAAAAGATTAATTTGAAATAAGATTTCAAGCCATTGTTCATTTATATTATTAAATTAATGTTGAAAGAATTAAAGATTTTAACGCATTAACATTTGAAAGGCATGTCATATAGCTTTTGCGTTTTATGTGTAATAAAATCTTTCGTTTACAGTGTAAACATTATTTTACTGTAAGATAATCAATTTATAAATATTTGATTTTAAAATATTACTTTTTGTATTTTCTTAAATTTGTTTAAATTCATAGCGTCCATTTATTATCTCTGTTTTAATCATTAACAATAATGCTTGTTTAACATCAAATAACAATTCATTAGTAAGTTAGAATTAAAAATTAATTAATGAGTGTTTTCCATTAACGAGCCCTTCTTTCCTTATATGATCTTTGGGACCAACCGTATTTTTAAATGTCATTTGCTCTTGTATGATAATACTGAATTTGATAATCAAAAACTTAATTTAATATCATAATGGTACATTAAGAATATAAAAAATTAAAGTACAATACATGTTATGTTAGACAAGTATCAACTACAGATTTGTGTCTGTTAGTCATCTCTTCTGACATGCACTAAATTAATATACAATATGTCTTTGCAGCAAACTTGTTAAAAGTAATTGTGTTTGAAATTATATTTCTCCATTTAGACCGATTTATTTTTAAGATTTAGTGCATGTAATTTATTTTAACCGACACAAATTTTTCATCCTACATCTTTAAATAGGCGTATCATACTCAGATTGTGTGAATACTCAAACAATTATTTCAACCACTAAATATTGGTAAGCGTACAAAACTAAACTGGTCAAGAACGACCCAGCCGTTTGAACAGTTTAATTTGGTAAATGCCTCCTGATGAACGCTAACCAATTTAATTCTGATTTTTTTTTAATAAAACATTCATTTGAAATGCTGCAATCCTATTGCACAAACATTTATTTTGAAAACTAAATCAGACTTTTTTAATCTTTTGCGTTAAAACGCAGCGCAAAACAGTTTTTATTCTTTAATAATGAGTAACAAACACAAACCTATAGAAGATTCAAGCCGGAAGTTTATATTTATTCGTTCAAATCAATAATGTTTTTAATGCATAACTTTAGATAATATATAATGATATATGTACATACATTAATTGCTCTTAGATGTAAACACATTATCACCAACTATTTTTCATTTCAATACTAGTGCTCTTTTCAATATACTTGTCCTGATGAAGCTCTATAATCATTATAATATATAATATATGCATGTTTCGTATAATATTCTATTTTGTAAATTTGAATAAACTTTTATTTTATTATTTATTTAAAAAAAAACACAATTTAGTCTAAAGCTGCATGCCTCCGGGTAAGCAAAAATCTTTTTAGAAAATCAAAATTGAGAAAAATGTATTTAGATTTTAAGAAAAGTGAAAAGATTCAAGTTCAAGTAATAATTTGCATGTTTTGACAGATTTTGCGGTATATAACACCATATTTCTACTACTTGACTAACACAGTACGGGCTATTTTGCATATTTTGACCTGCTTTTGGTAAAGTAATTTATGTGGATTAAAAGTGCAGTTTGCAATCTGTAAGTTACTTTTTTCCCTTTACAATATTTAACGTTTAAATTTTTCATCAAAATAAGCATGAATCTGGAGACATGCTGCTGTAAGTGTTAAATCTTGTGTTCAGATATGATGTATATATTTTTGTAAATATTCATGACTACAATTACATATGCTCTTGTTGTATGTGCCCCTTTTTTCAAGATTTTAGATTTTATTGACCATTATATGACCCGAAACTAACTTAAGTATATGAGGATTAGAGAGATTTTGCCTTGTTTATTGGTTCAGTAATTCAAATTATAAGCAACGGTCACTTATATCTGTTCAGATGCAATGGTAAAAAAAATATCATGAAACTAAACTTAATCATTAATGAAAATTATACTTTGAAATTGGAAAAGAAGAAAATAGTGGATATTTGTTTGTTTTGCATGTAAGATTTAAATATAATTTGACTGAGTGAACACCAGATGCAATATGATGAAATTGTATCATAGTTTGGAAACCTTTCTGTTGAAAATGTGTCATGGTTAAATCGTATACATATACATGCACAGTGCGTTAACTGGAGTGCGGGTATTAGTTACCCGCACTCCAGAGCATGCCCATTGATTGGCTCGTTTTTGATGGGGTTTACATATTGTGACGAGAGAGAAAGGGAAAGCGACAGAAATGTCATATTCAGATGTTCGTTCATTGGTTCATTTTTGCCGGGGTTTCATATTGCGACAACAGGGAACGTGCTTTTATGTTTGACTATGATACAAAAGAGAAAGAACACCAAAACACTCGGCAATCTGATTAATGCTCGGGGGCTACGCCCCCTCGTACAAATCAGATAGCCTCGTGTTTCGGTGCTCTTTCTATTACATATAATAGCTGGTGTTCACGAATGAAATATATTTCAATCTTATATTTAAAACAAATAAATTTTCTTTTTATTTCATGCGTTTTAAGTAATTGAAGTAATTTTTACTGATTTTGCCGCGTAACGTCGCGCATTCTCCTGTATGACTTCATCACATCATGACGTCACATCAACAAGTTTGAAATATAGTTCAGTTAAATTTCTCTAATTTTGTTACATTTTTAACATAATGTATGGTGACATCGACTATTTTTTCCGAAAGAAGCAAAATTTACGCATGACGGCATTTATTTTTGCCTGTTATTCCATTCAGTTTTGATTTTCTTTTCATCCGCATTCAGATATAGTCCGGCTACAGTGAAAATTATATTTTATAAATTTCACTAGTGGTTTATCAGAATAAGATCATCTGATATATTACAATAAAACACTGGAAAGCATGAAATAAATTGACTTCATTATGAAGATCTCTAGAGCCGCTGTTGTTGTTCAATCAATTTTATTACTTCAGTTGACATACTTATATAATAGCTTTCCAAATAATTTTATAAATAGATGATATGTTTCAAGATTAAATATGGAGTGGGTGACAAAAAGTAAAAAATCAAAATGCCTGTTTTAATAAAATGTTTTTATTCTGGTGGAATTAAAATAATAGATATTAGATTATGTGGTTAGTTTTAGTATATGGTTAGTTTATATATAATATGGTTTAGAAATTTTATTACGTTTCAGTTAAGTATATAATGTTACAAACTTGTTTTAAAAAAAAACTTTGGATGTAAGGCAAACTCTTATATTTTGGCTAACTTTATTTTTGCTCATTCATTTGAGAAATATAATTTATAAACGCCATTCA